AAAAATCCCCCTCCCCAAATTTTTTCTGCACTCCCCCCTCCCCCCGCCCCTCCTTTTATTATTATTATTATTTTTTTCCTCCCCCCCCTCTCCCCCTCCTCCGCCATGAGTTCTTACGTCGCCAATTCGTTTTATAAGCAAAGTCCCCACGTTGCTGCCTATGCCATGCAAAGTTATGGAAATTATGGAAGTGTGCCTGAGGTTCAGCCATCCAGGTGCTGCTACAGCGGCGTGGATCTGAGCATCACCTTCCCCTCCTCCGGGGCTTCCAACCCTGAGAGCGGCGTGGATATGTCTACAACCCCCAGGTCTCACCCCGATCGACCTTCCTGCACGGTCATGGGTTCGTCGGGCCATCTTTTAAACGAACCCCCACCTTTAAACCCAGGAATTTACAGTCAGAAGACAACGAACGCAACAACGTTGGAAGAGAGATCGAAAAGCTCGGCAGAAATCAAAGCTGAGCCCGTGCAAACGACACAACAAGGAGGAGCACAAGTGCAGCAGCAACGGCCACCTCCACAAATATACCCGTGGATGACCAAACTACACATGAGCCATGGTAAAACTTTCACTTCTTGATTTTGTTTCACAGGATTTTGCCTCGGTTTTATAGGCCATGCGGGGCAAATAATAAAAAACCTGAGGTCGTAAATTTTACGACTAAGGCATCAATTGCTCGTAAAACTGTCCACTAAAAGGCTTAGAGGCTATATACGCCCAAATTTATGACAGCATAATTGGATCATAGAAACAAAACGTGTATAAAAGGCAATATTCCATTTTTTTGGGGAAGGGGGGGTTAAAAATAACTCGAAGTACACATGTTCTTCCAGGGTGAGCTTTAAAATAAGAAATGCCACCAGGAGCGAAGTGGAGGGAGGGGAGCAGGGTCGGATCTTTCCATTCCACCTTCCCAGGGCTGAGGGGAAAAGGAAGGAGAGATTTCCACGAAGAGAAATCCCTTCCTTTGTACACTTTTTTATTGTGTAAGGGGAAACAGGTTCAGTGCTGGCTCATCTGTGTGCGCCTTGGGAAAGGATGGAGGGAGGGAGGAAGGGAGAAAAGAAGGAAGGAGGGAAGGAAGGAAGGGAGGAAGGAAGGGAGAAAAGGAGGAAGGAGGGAAAGAAGGAAGGGAGGAAGGAAGGGAGAAAAGGAGGAAGGAAGGGAGAAAAGGAGGAAGGAGGGAAAGGAGGAAGGAGGGAAAGGAGGAAGGAGGGAAAGGAGGAAGGAGGGAAAGGAGGAAGGGAGCACTTGGAGCTGGAGGTGTTGAGAATGAAGGATTTCAGGCTCCTGCTCTCCTACTGTGACAAACCCCCGGTGCCCCAGCAAACTTCTCTGCTCTTCTGGTGTTTGTACCCTCCGTTTTAGCATTAAAAAAAAATCATAAAAAAATCTATTTCAAATAAAAATCTCTCCAGAACCAGTTTGGGTTTTATTTTATTATTAGTTTTTTCTTTCTTTCTTTCTTTCTTTCTTTTTTTTCACGTGGCGTTTTGCGTTTTTCCAGAAACGGATGGCAAACGGTCCCGAACCAGCTACACCCGCTACCAAACTCTGGAACTGGAGAAAGAATTCCATTTTAACAGATACCTCACCCGGCGGAGGCGCATTGAGATCGCCAACAACCTGTGCTTGAACGAGAGACAAATCAAAATCTGGTTTCAGAACCGGAGGATGAAATGGAAGAAAGATTCCAAGTTGAAAAGCAAAGAGGCTCTTTAGGGCTTTGGCTGGAGGTGGGGGTCCCGTTCTGTAAGCTGCCGTGGGGAAAACTCTGATTTTGGGGGTGGGAGGGAGGGGGATGCTGCATGGCCGCAGGTCCGTACCCTCTCCGACCCGTCAGACAAAGGAGAGCTCTTATTAGCGATGCGAAAAGCCGCTCTTAGCTTCACGCAGAAATGTAGTGTTTCGCTCTTTAGGTTGTTAATAAGTGTCCGAACCTGTGCGCTCTGTTGGGGGGGTGGGGGGGGTGTGGGAATCGCCTTGAGGTTGCTCGGAAAAAATGTTTAAAAAGAGGGAATGACAAAAAAAAAATCCTCAAAAAATACACACACACACACAGGAAAAAAAAAAGAAGGGTTTAAAAGAGGTCCGCGGGTTGGTTGGGACGCGGTGGTGTAAAAATGGAGCTGAAAATGGCGAAACGGCTCTGAAAATCGCGAAACCGCTCTGAAAATCGCGATGTCCGTAGTCGGAGGGAAGTGGGGGGGAATATAGATATCTATCTATATATAAAATGATAACCGTAATAAAATCGAGAGCTGTTGAGGAAAGGACAAAAAGCCCGACGCCGAGCTGCTGCCCCGGCCTCCTGCTCGCCCTCTGCTCGCCCTTCTATGGGGAGGAAGCGGCCGGGCTGTGCTATGGGTCGCACTGTGGGGGGGGGGGGGGGAGTGCGAGCCCCCATCTGCTCGCTAGGCTCAGAAATCCCCCCTCTCTTCTTCTCCTCGCTCCTCCTGCAGTCGGGTTGGGACGCGTCCCAATGGCACAACATCGCGTTCGTCCCCAAACCCCGCAGTGCCCCGCATTGAGCCGGGGTGGGGGCTGTGTGTGTGTGTATGTGTGCTGGGGGGGGGGGGTTGGGGGGCTGTTTCCCCGCTGAGGGGGACGGGGGGGGGGGGGGGGGGGGGGGTCTGGACGGCGTTATTTTATTATGATTTGCATATAAAAGAAATGAATAGCCCCGTGCGCGGACCCTCCGAAAAACCTCCGGGCGCAGCTTGGAGAGGTGGGGGAGGGCGCGCAGCCTCCGCACTTCGTATTATTGTGTATTTATTTGTCGCGTAATGAATGTAGGTTTGCTAAAGGCTGAGATATCTATTAAAAAAAAAAAA